GGGGGGGCAGGTAGGGGAGGAATCGAACAAGGAACTCGTTCTTCTAGTTTTGGCTGTTGTGCCTGTACAGTGAACTGTAACTATCCATGCTTTCTCTCGCTCTCTTTCTTACTCATTTCGTTACTCTCTCTCTCTCACGCATTATTCAAAACACTGGTTCAGGAATGCACAGCTCTCTGCAGAAGATGACTTGAAATTTTTAGTTTGAATGAGGAAGTAGAAGGACTCATAAGTAAAACTCAAGCAACAAAGTAAAAAAAAAAGTACTCACTGTGGGGAATTCTTCTTCTTTGGGAGAGTCCAGCTAAACTTGAAGCTATCTAATGCAGTACTGTAATAGATCCATTAATTGGGTCATAATGTTGTGTTTGTGATGTTTGTGATATAATTCCTTGACTTCCCCCTTGTGCAACCTCAACATCTTTACAGTATAAAGATTCTTGTGGCTTGGCTCAGTTCCATCGAAGCACCCTGACATTTTCTCACACGCTTTACTCCCGGACATCACTTGATCCAGATCCTGCAGTCCATCAGCACATCAAGGTGTTTGTAAATGTTCTGTCTCACTCTGTAATTAACTCATCTTAGCTGAAACTCAACAAAGAGCTTTTAGTGGGTGACATTAGAAAGGGTGTGTGCAAACACCGAAGGTCTCCTTGGAGTGTGATAACAGCATTTCCAGAGATGTTGTTCAGTATCAGTAGGTGGAAGGAATGCATGCTGTGTGCAAACATCTTGAGGATATTCCTTTACACTCACAATTTTACGGTAATAGAGGAGCACGTGTGAAATGCTGACTTTAAACAAATGCGATGTACAATCCAATTCTGGGCTCGTTGTCATGGTCCTGGGTTTTTGTGTTTCTGGGATTTGAAAATTTTGTGAATAACTTCACTTTAGGTTTTTGTTTCAGTTCTGTGATTATGTTAGAATTTTAAGTTGTTTCTTTATCCTTGAGAAAACAAGGTTAAACCTACTATTATTTTATTATTCCAGTATTTTGTGAGTGAGTGTTAGTTTATGTGCTTTTGAGTCTGTGATTCCTGGTTTTACCTTATGACTAGTCTACTGATAGTT